TAGCATTAAACATAAACATTTCTTTGACAAGTCTTTAAAAACTATATTTTACAAATTATAATTATAATTTTAACTTTAAATATTTAATGTATATTTTTAAAAATAGAATGCAAAAGGACACAAAGAAATAAATATCAAGTATATAGATGTTACGTCTAGCGCCTCACGAAGTATCCAATTTTTCTGTTTTCTTTTTCTTTACTATATTATATATTTGATATTATATGAAGCAGTAGCTTGAACATTATAATATTAATTGATGCTGCATGGAAGTAACGGCCTAGCATTATGGTATCAACTGACATTGTATTATACATCTAATATCATACAAAATGATAGTTTAACATTGTGATATTATGTAAAGTAATAATTTAATGTTACACACTCAATATTATATAAAATAATAGTTTAACGTTGTAGTATTCATTGATATTGAGTTGTACATTCAGTATTATATAAGGTAATGATTTAATATTATAGTGTCAGATTGATATTATGCTGTGCGTTTAACGATATATAAAAAAATAATTTAATACTATAATATCAGTTCGATATCGTGCTATATGTTTAATGTTATATAAAATAATAGTTTAGCGTTCGTATTATATAAAGTAATGGTTTGATGTATAGTATTCGTTGATATTATATGAAGTAATAATTTAGAGTTATACTATCGGTCAGATATTATGTTATGTATTCAGTACTATATAAAGTAATAGTCCAATATTAAAATAATAATTAAATATTATAGTATCACACTTTCAACATCATACAGATTGATAATTTGACGTTATACATTTAATATCATATGAAACAACAGTTTAATATTATAATATCAGTTTAAGTATTAAGTTATACATCTGATATTATATATATAATAATTTAATATCATAATATCGGGTCGATATTGAGTTATACATTTAACAACATAATAGTTTAATATTATAATCTCAGTTTAGCATTGCGTTATACACCTAATATTATATAGAATAAGTTGATATTATATGATTCTCGTTTAAACGCTATGATTGCGAGAGTCGATCAAGCGCGATCCACGTGCTCCGCGCGCTCACGTACGGTGCACGTGGCCGGACAATGGGGCTCTTCGGAAAGCGCGAATTCGGGAATCGAAAACAGTTCAAAGGGCAATCCACCACTTTCTAATTTTCCGAAGATTCCCATTTCTCCTCGCCCCTTTTACCACCAAGCTACTAGTATATAAGAGCGCCGATTTCGATGAGAATTTGCTCATTTTCGTA